TTTTCTTTTTGCTTATGTGGTGCTGAGGAATCGAACCCAGGGCCTCATGCATGCAAGGCAAGCGCTCTACCTCTGAGCCACCTTCCCAGGTTGACCCATTGTAACAACAAGATGTACAAGATGCTATGTTGAAAACAAACTTTACAACTTTGGGGCATAGTGGTGGGGGGAGGGAGGAGTTGGGAAGGTGGGGAAGGAAGGGATAATAGGGGAAAAACAAAGGGGTAACAATGTTCAATAGGAAATGTACTCATTATCTTACTCATGTAACGGTAACCTCTCTATATAGTATCTTTACAATATATATATATATATATATATATATATATTATGGTTTTCAGAAGTTACCCTAGGATACTTTCCATTTAGAACCAATTGACCAGAACTTACTTTTATTTCAAGGGGAGCTGGGAAATGCAGCCTCTATTCTGAGCTATCAATTGCCAAAACCTCTACTGCTAACACCATACATGCATACTGGGGAATCACTAAGAGTTTCTGCCAGTAGAATTGTCATTCAGTTCAAATAATCTACAGCTAATTGACAGATCTTCATCTTTAAATAATACAAACATAAATTGTTGAAAGAACTTCTACCAGATGCCACAGTAACCAGTTACCTGAAAATATAGATGTAATCTTGCTTGAATACTGTAGTAGCAAGTTGACCACATTTAGTATCTGAACCTGTGTACAATCTGGCATCAGAGTCAGGCTGCAAATCACAGGCCAAATCCTTCATTCCCCAGATCTCTAATGACTGCCTATTTTCAATTTTTTTCTATCATTAATATGATTTTCTTCTATTTTGACAACTAGGAAATTCTAAAATTTGATTTATCAAACATTTGAACATTGAACATTTCTACCAGGCTAATAAATATTAGCAGAAATAAATATGACACTGTTTAATACAGATTTTAAAACATCCAAATGGAAAAGATATAAAGTAAGACAGCCCAAATGCCTCCTAGAATGCTTAAGTACCATTTTGTTACAGAACAAAACAAATCATCACAAAATACTGATAGACACTGTCAGACCCTATATATTTTTTTTATCTTGAGTACTGTATATACTAATTTTCTGCCAGCACAAAAGGCTTTTTTTTCTAATAATATTCAGCAAACAATAGGCATTCAGGGAAGACTATTAAATACTGAAAGCCAGTGAACTCCTTAAAAAGAGCATGTTGTATTATGCCCAACTCTCAAGTGCTACCTCCCTAAGATGACTCTGTGATCACTCTGAGTTTTTAAGTTAGCAGGGAAAAATCGAGGCTGAGGTGGCAGCAGGGGGTGGTGGGGAGAGAAGGGACCATTTTTCAATGCTATAGATCCATCCTAGAATTTATCTTTTTAAGGTCATTCTTTTTTGGTTTGACTCTATGGTCCTACTGCATCTCATAAATAGCATGACATTTTATGTATTTTATGCTGTACATTCCCTGTCTCTTAAAAGGAAAAATGATTGGTTATAAGAAAGAAAAATCTCTATAATGCAGATTGTAAAAAAAAAAAAAAAAAGGATTAACTGGGCTGAGGTGGCTCAAGCCTCTAAGCCTAGAGATCTGAAAACCACAGTTTGAAGCCATCTGGAGAAAGAAGGCCCATGAGACTTGTATCTCCAATTAATCATCAAAAAAGCCAGAAGCAGAGCTGTGGCTCAAGTGGCAGAACATTAGCCTTGAGCAAAAAAAGCTCAGTAACAGCATCCAGACTCTTGAGTTCAAGCCCCAGAAACAGTATATACACACACACACACACACATACAAGGATAATATATTAAACGGTATTCCTCTGTGTAATCACTACAATCAATATGAAGAGAAAAATAAACAAAAATCATTGTTCTAATGTACAAATGAATAATTCTATATTACCCTATACAATTATTAGCTTTAGTGAACTGTGATCTCCCTAAAAAGCCCCCAGGTGGCATTATTGCCTTGTTTTTCCTAAATTGCTTGTTTTCATATGACACAGATCACAATTTACTTTAACAAGCAATTCCTTACTCCAATGACAAATGTCCATATGAAAAATGTTATTTTCTTATGTCTTCATTTGAACAAGATCTTTTAAGTTTGAAAGATAAAGCATTTTCTTATAGTTGATGAACCAAAATTTTCCAAAAAAACAAAATATGAAATTTGTGTGTACAATATAAATTTAATCTCAAATAACTAATTTCATTGAGGTTTCTTTGCAATTGTTACTACTTTATTTGTGATGTCTGAAACAAAAAGTTAATTTTCTAAGTCAGATTCTCTCTTTCAAAACAAGAGCACTATGTTTACAGAACTGAATGATGCTTTTGATGCCCTTATGCAAACAGCAGGTATAGGAATTGTTAGTGGAGAGAAGGCAAGGATAAAGAGAAGGTATGTCCCACATTTCCAAATATCCATACAAATCATAGGAATTTAAGATATGGGACAAAAAGCATTGGGGGGAGGGTCTCACAAAAAAAGAAAACCTGGAGCCAGGTGAAATCCTCAATATCTCAGCCTCCTGAGTAGCAAGGATTACAGGCCTGAACCACCAGTGCCCAATTTCCCTACTTTATCTTATTTTACGAAAGGAAATCCATGTTAAACTTTATCTGAGAGACTTGCTTTTTTGTCTGTTTGTGCCAGTCCTGGGGCTTGAACTTTGGGCCTGAGCGCTGTCCCTGACTTTTTTTTGCTCAAGGCTAGTGTTCAACCACTTGAGCCACAGTTCTACTGCGGCTTTTCGGTAGTTAATTGGCATCTCAGAGTTTCTTGCTTGGGTTGACTTTGAATATACAGGAGGATGAGATCCTAGCTGCTGAGGATCAGGGCTCAAAGTCAGCCCTGGCTGAAAAGTCCCTGTGAGACACATCTTCAATTAACACCAGAAAACCAGAAGTGGCACTGTGGCTCAAAGTCATAAAGCAGAAGAGCTCAGGGACAGTGCTCAGGCCCTGAGTTCAAGCCCCACAACTGACAAAAAAAAAAAAGATAGAGTAGGAAGAAGTGGAAAAGAAGGAAAGGATAAACATCTGTACTTCACAGCAGAAACTGGGAGTGAAGATGACTCCGAACAGTCTTTCTTCTGTATAGTATTCTGGGGGATTTCTTGTTGAGCCCCTTCTGGTGATATTATCTAGCAATTCCAAATCACTTTGCTAAATTACCAAGCATGGAGACAATGGGTTTAGGATGAATCTATTCCCCACAACAGGACCTTTAAAAAAAAACATGTAGATTAGTATATGTATATTTTAGTATATATAAAGTTTTCTGTCTCCTTTCTTAAGAGTTTGCAGTTTAGAAGGCAGATACAGGTAGGTCCTTTATGTTTGTCTGTTCTTGTAACTTAACATCTAGAAGGGATGGCATGATGGGAGAAGGAAGGTAAATGGAAGAGTGACGTAATAGGAGGAGCACTTGCTGTTCTGATGTTTCAGTTTTGCTTCCTGGTTTTGTTTTAATCCCTTAGTCTAGTCTGTTAATACATTTTTTTTCATTTCAATTTCCCTGTAGCCTCCTCTATCCTGCCTCAGTATGAGAGCATACTTTCAGCTAATATCAAATAATAAAATGTATATATCTTAAAAATATAATTTCAGATATTTGGTAACTATAATTCAACAGTGAGTTATTTTAATGAGCATGACAAGGAAAATATTACTGCCTGATTATTTATGGTCAATAAAAGAAACTTGTTTAAAGTATTGTCTTATGTAATTGTGTATATAAGTTTTTTACATTGAGATTAAAAACTATATATCATTGAAGTATATATATTACCAAGATCATCAAACTGTATTTGAGTAGCAGTACCATAATAATTTATACTAGGTGACTTTTAAAGAACATTAATTTCGGAAGTGGTGCTGTAGCTCAAGTGGTAGAGCGCTCGCCTTGAGCTGAAGAGCTGAGGGACAGCACCCAGGCCCAGAGTTCAAGCCCCACGGCCGACAAAAAAAAAAAAAAAGAACATTAATTTCTAATTCACTTAATTTACTAAATAATCAATGTGATAATTAAACTAAAAGTTCAGGTTGTGATTTAACTCCAAATATTCAGTCTTTTTTTTATTGTGAAAATACCGTACAGAGGGGTTACAATTATATAAGCAAGGTAATGAGTACATTTCTTATCAAGCATTGTTGCCTCCTCCTTTGTTTCCCCTTACAAATATTCAGTCTTCATTCTTTGTAAACTTAATCTACCCACTACTCTATCTAATCTACCTACTACTCTATACTACCACTAGCATATTAAAAGATTCAAAAAATTGTATTTTTGAGAAGTAATTGTTTAAGATTCAACTTGAAAATAGTCTCTTTTGAGGACTTGTACCAGTTTTAAAAAAATCCCCTGAAAATATTGGCAGAAACCCTGTTCTGCATTAAAATTGGCCAGTTAAAAAGATTTTTTAAAAATATTTCCCTTGTAAGCTGGCACCAGTGGGTCATGCCTGTAATCTTAGCTATTCAGGAAGCTGACATCTAAGTATCCAGCCTGGGCAGGACAGTATGTGAGACTCTTATATCCAATTACCAGGAAGCCAGAAGTAGAGCTGTGGTTTAAGTGGTAGAGTGCTACATTTGAGCAAAAAAGATCAGGGACAGCATCTAGGCCCTGAGTTCAAGCCCCATGACCAGCATAAACACACAATTATTTTCTTTCCATCATTACTAAATGATTTTATATTTTTATGTTAAATATGATGTCCATTCCAAAATTACTTCAATTATACACATGCATTTAGTTTTTCATGAGTTTTGATTGCCTTTTTTTTTCATCTTTTATAGCTAGGAATTGAAGCCATTGCCTCACCTACCATTTAGATGTATCCTTAGTCATACAATGACTTTGATAGTAATCAAAACAATGTTACCTCTATTTTCTAATATATATAAACACAAGAAAATGATTCCACCATTTTTTGGTACAGCTAGGCTGCTCACAGTCATGGTTAATGTTCCTAAAACCCACCAAAATTTCTGGAAGTGTGGCAAGCACCAACCTCACAAAGTACAAGGGCAGTTTCTCTGTATGCCTGGGAAAATGTCTTTATGACAGGAAGCAGAGTGGCTACAGTGATCCGACTAAGCCAATCTTTGGGAAACAAGTTAAGACTACAAAGAAAATTATTCTGAGACTCGAATGTGCTGAGCCCAGATGCAGATCAAACAGAATGCTGGCTATTAAGAGATGTGAGCAGGAGAATAAGTTCAGCAGTGGTACTCAGTGGACACAATGTTGAAATGAACTGTACAAATTTGGACAGGGATTGGGGGATGAGAGAGAGCAAAGGAAGGGGTGACATTGCCCAAAAAGAAATGTACTCATTACCTGATTTATGAAACTGTAACCCCTCTGTACATCACCTTAATAGTAACAAAATAGCCCAGTGCTGCTGGCTCATGCCTATAATCCTATCTACTCAGGGGCCGGAAATCTGAGGAAAACGGTTGCAAGCAAGCATTGAGCACAAAGAGGATCAGGGACAGAGCCCAAGCCCTGAGTTCAAGCCCCAGCATGGGCAAAAACAAATAGGTAAGTAATAATAATAAATTTAAAAAGAGATGTAAGCATTTTGAACATGGCAGAGATAAGAAAGAGGCAAGTGATCCAGTTCTAAGCTCTATATCTTGTTATGAACACAATGAGATCTAACCTTGAATTTTTGTTATAATATAATCACAAGGACTAAGTTACAACTTTCCTTATGAAGACAATAAAATCAGGAGGTCAAATGCAAAAACAAAGAATAATATATTTCAGTCCAAGCTCCCAGAACACTAATCAGTTCAGCTCCTGGAATACTCACTGAAAAAAATAAAGGGAAATCACTCTCAACATATCATTTCAATGTGTTTTTTCCAGTGCATAAAAAATGTTGTGTTTTTAAGTAAGTAAAACAAAAACATCTTTAAAAGTTTAAGCCTTGAAATTGCTTTTCCTTTTAAGTCACTTGGAGTGGTATTTGAGAGGGTCACAGCCTCACTGGGGAAAAGTGTATAATTAGAGAACTAACAGTCAGTTGAGAAAGCCAGTGCAATTATCTCTCTTGCCCTTTTGGTGTAAGATCACTCTCTGATGGGGTTGCAGGACCATTTAAAATGGATTGATCAAATAAAATTAGATTGGCTAAATTAGAAACCACAGCTATAACTTGAAAAAGTATTTACTCTAATAAATGTGCATGGACAGTACCTTAGTGATCTCTTTAGAACCATGATTCCAGAGTGATTGGACTCTATGCACTAACTGATAACAGTACTTTTAGCTAAAGATCACTTTAAGCTCTTTTCCAGCACTAACTCATTGTCATAGTTTTTGTGCAGATGACCCTTGATATTATTTTAGCTATCAAAACAAAAATTAGACTAAAGTAAAGCAAATAGTATAAAGTACTCATATGGACTATATTCGATAGCTTTCAATATTTTGGCACTGCTTTGGTTTCTCATTCTTTTTTCTCTTTCTCTGTTATTACAGTATTTTAAAGCAAATTCCTGACATGTTTCATTTCAACCCCAAATAATTCTGAGTATTACTACAAAGTATGGAAATTTTTATATTATCATAATATGATTGTGCCTACAAAGTTTAAAGTTATTTTAATATCATCTAATAATCTATATCTGAATTGCATTACTTACCAGAAGTATTTTTGAGTTATTCTAGGGTATTTTGTTTTGTTTTATAGTGCTAGGGATAGAACCCAGGAATGCTAAGCAAAAACTCTACCAATGAGTTACACCCCATCCCATATTCTAGCCACTTTCAATATATCCATTTCACTCTAAGGTAGTATTCTACATTTATATTCAACAATCATATTTTTCTTGATTTTTATAAACTCCCATTCTGAATTGGTACTTTAGTTATAAGGACCTTATATATTTCATTAACTTCAGGCACACCTCCCCAATCCTGTTTCCAGACTCAATATATTTTTGAACACTTCAATGATTATTTCAGATATCCTTCCTGATTTTTCACCCTAATACACACAAGGTAGGACTCTCTCATTACTTTCTCCAGTCTGTTAAAAAGTATAGTAAAACTCCACCTAAGACTCTTTTTATATCACAGATAAAAATCACATTTGCTATATTTATAGTGATGTGTGATTCTTATAGGTATAATTATAACTCAGTAACCCTAGAATATTTTCTTGCGCTGCCAGTGTCAAATTGAAGATCAGCTCTGGCTGGATTTGAGATTTGATATGACTCCTCTCTTGACCACTACTGAAGAAAACTGAATGCTCAGGCTGCGTAAAATTCATGATCATACTTTGATGCTTGATTCATTTTCCCCATATCACCCAACTTCTGCTAAAGACATGCTGTCTCTCACCAAATGTAGATGTGATTAAATTGAAACAGTGGTTATTATAAAATAAAAATTATAGTGTTTTGTAGAGCTCAAAAAATGGTAAAATATTTCCTTATAACAATAGGATAGCTGCATATAATAAACAACTGGAATGGTGTTTTTTAGATAAGGTTTTAAATGCTCTAATTTTTGGGGAAGTAAAGATTTTGGTAAGTTATGTCAAAAGCTAATTCTAGAATGCTTGTCAAAATAAAAAATAATAAAGCACAAAATTTTCTATGGGGAAAAATTGAGTAAGAAAAAATATGCACTACAGAAGAGAAACAGAATGAAACACAAAGCACTTAAGACAAATTGAAATCATGCGATGAAGTTGTCAAAACGAACACAAAAATATATTAATGATTTAAATAAAAATAAAATGCACAAAAATCAGCAATGAACATTTAGAAATAGTGTATTGTGTATTACTGGAGTTTGAACTCAGAGCCTTAAAGTTACTGGGCAGGTGTTCTATGGTTGAGGCACACCTCTAGCTTTTTGCTTTAGGATTTAAAAAAAAGAATAGTATCTCAGGCTGGGAATATGGCTTAGTGGTAGAGTGTTTGCCTAGCATGCATGAAGCCCCAGTTTGATTCCTCAGTACAACATAAACAGAAAAAGCTGGAAGTGGTGCTGAGGCTCAAGTGATAGAGCACTAGCCTTGAGCACAGAGAAGCTCAGGGATAGCACCCAGGCCCTGAGTTCAAGCCCCAGGACTAGCAAAAAAAAAAAATAGTGTCTCATATTTATGCCCAGTTAGGCTGGATCAAGATCTTCCTATTTATATTTCTCTAATATCTAGAATGACAAGTACAAACCATCATGGCCACCTTTTTTTGGATTGAGTTGGGGATCTTTCAACCTTCTTATGCATGAAATCCTCCCAACGTGTGCCTCTTGACTAGCTAGAATTATAGGCATGGATTCTGACTGCCTAGGCCATAAACCAATATTAAGCACAATATGATTTGCATTTATATATATATACTTAGTATGTGCAAGATCATAGCATTCGGATTTTTTTAAAAAGCCAATGAAAAGCCGGGTGCTTGTGGCTCACGCCTGTAATCCTAGCTACTCAGGAGGCTGGGATCTGAGAATCGCGGTTCAAAGCCAGCCCGGGGAGGAGAGACCGTGAGACTCCTATCTCCAATAAACCACCAGAAAACCGGAAGTGGCGCTGTAGCTCAAGTGGTAGAATGCTCGCCTTGAGCTGAAGAGCTGAGGGACAGTGCCCAGGCCCAGAGTTCAAGCCCCACGGCCAAAAAAAAAAAAAAAAAAAGCCAATGAAGAACTTCCGGGAAGATGGCAGAGGAGAAGCTGGAGGCTAAACAAGCTCTTGCTTAGAAAGCAGTTTTAGTGTTCCAGTGAACAGTCCTAGGCCAGAGAATTTTACCAAGTGTGCCATGGCAGTACAGAGAATTTGGTCAGAGAGGGAAAATCCAGGCAAATAAACAGATCTGAGCACTTGCCGGCCGTGGCTGCAGCGGCAGCAGTGGTGGGGCGGCGACGGTGGCGGCGGCCGCCAGCCATAGCCACCATATCTACAACACAGAGAGTCCAGGACAAAGGCGCCACACACAGCAGGCAAGTGGATTCTACTCAACACCAGCAAGAACTGACAAGAGCAGACATCTTCATCCTGCAGATGGCAGAGAAAGAACATACAACCACCAAGACAAATCCAAGAAATATGATAGATCTATCCAACATTTGGAAGACACTATCAGAAGGGCTAATCTGAGGATAATGGGTGTAGAGGAGCACCTAGAGACAGAAGTTAATGGTCTGGGAAATTTGTTTAACAGGATCCTAGCAGAGAACTTCCCAAACAGGCAAAAAGATAGGCCTATTCAGATACAAAAAGCTTTTAGAACTCCAAATAGACCAGACCAGAACAGGACATCCCACCGTCACATTATAATCCCCACAGGATCAATTCAGACCAACGAAAAGATCCTTAAAGCTGTCAAGCAGAAAAGATCAGTCACCTATAAAGGGAAACCAATTAGAATCACCTCAGATTTCTCAGCTGAGACAATTAAAGCAAGAAGAGCCTGGAATGATGTATGCTATGCCCTAAAGACAAACAACTATCAACCAAGAATAGTGTACCCAGCTAAAGTGTCCTTCATAACCGAAGGTCATATAAAAACCTTCCATAGCAAAGAAAAATTGAAACGATATATCTCCACCAAACCAGCCCTACCAAAGATACTTAAAGATGTCCTACACATAGAAAACCAACAAGACCACAATAAAGGCCAAGAAACTGCACCCAAACTGAGAATCCAAGAACCATAGGAAGAACCCAGTTGCCGCAGCCCCCAAGAAGGTGGATAAAATGGCAGGAACTACCAAATACCTCTCAGTCCTATCTCTTAACATTAACGGACTTAACTCTCCAATTAAGCGACATAGACTGTCCAGTTGGATTAAAAAGCAAGATCCCTCTATCTGCTGCCTTCAGGAGTCACACCTTGCCCATAAAAACAAACATATTTTGAATGTGAAAGGCTGGAACAAAATCTACCAAGCAAACAGCCCCCATAAACAGGCAGGAGTTGCAATCCTAGTATCAGATAAAATAGACTTCAAATTAAAATTAGTTAGAAGAGATAAAGAAGGTCACTACATACTAATTAAGGGATCTCTCCTTCAGGATGATATTACAATTCTAAATCTCTATTTGCCAAACAATGGAGCACCCAACTTTATCCAAGAAACACTACTTTCTCTCAAATCTTACATAGATCCAAAGACATTAATTGTTGGGGACTTTAACACACCACTATCCCCACTAGATAGATCAACTCGGCAATAACTCAACAAAGAAACCGCAGACCTAAACAATTGCATAGATCAACTAGATTAAACAGACATCTACCGAATATTTCACCTAGCAGCATCAGAATACACATTCTTCTCAGCAGCACATGGAACATTTTCCAAAATAGACCACATTTTAGGTCACAAAGCAAACTTGTCCAAATTCAAAATCATTGAAGTTATACCTTGCAGTCTCTCAGACTACAAGGGAATAAAATTAGAACTCAACACCAAAAGCCACCAAAGAAAGTCCTGTAATGGAGGCTGAACAACACACTATTGAACTACCAATGGGTCATGGAAGAGATTAGAAAGGAAATTCAAATGTTCATGATATTCAACAAAAATGAATACACAAACTACCACCTCCTCTGGGACACAGCAAAGGCAGTACTCAGAGGTAAGTTTATAGCTCTGAGTTCCTATATCAACAAATTGGAGAGATCTGAAACCAACAATTTAATGAGACATCTGAGCCTCCTTGAAAAAGAGCAGCAAGATAAACCCCAATCCAGTAGACAGAAAAAAATAATTAAAATTAAATCCGAATTAAATGAATTAGAATCCCAAAAAACCATAGAAAGAATCAACAAAACAAAGAGTTGGTTCTTTGAAAAAATTAACAAAATAGACAAACCCTTAGCAAATCTTATCAGAAAAAGAAGAGAACACACCCAAATAAATAAACTCAGAGATGAGAATGGAAACATCACCACAGAAACAACCAAGATTCAGAACATTATAAGGGAATACTTCTCAAACCTTTATGCTAATAAGTTTGAGAACTTGGCAGAAATGGACCTTTTCCTAGCAAATATTGACATGCCAAAACTAAACCAAGATGTTAAACCACCTTAACAGGCCCATATCAAGCATTGAAATAGAAACAGCAATAAGAGACCTCCCATCTAAGGAAAAGATGGTTTTACAGCAGAATTCTACAAGGCCTTCAAAGCAGAGCTCACACCAATACTCCTCAACTCTTCAATGATATTGAAAGAGAAAGTTCACTACCGAACTCATTCTATGAAGCCATCATAACCCTCATCCCAAAACCAGGCAGGGACTTACCAAAGAAAGAGAAATATAGACCCATTTCTTTGATGAACGTTGATGCAAAACTTCTCAACAAAATTTTGGCCAATCGACTTCAACAACATCCAAAAAATCATACACCACGATCAAACAGGATTCATTTCAGAGATGCAAAGCTGGTTCAATATATGCAAATCAATTAACATAATTCATCACATCAGCAAGAGCACGGATAAGAACCACATGGTTATCTCAATAGATACAGAAAAAGCATTTGACAAGATCCAACACCCCCTTATGATGAAGGTTCTGGAAAAATTAGGAATCCATGGAACATTGCTCAATACAATAAAGGCTGTATATGACAAACCTACAGCCAGCATTATACTCAATGGTGAAAAACTAAAGCCATTTCCTCTTAACTCAGGAATGAGACAAGGATGTCCACTCTCTCCACTTCTCTTCAATCTAGTATTAGAGTGCCTCGATACAGCAATAAGACAAGAAGCAAACATAAAGAGGATCCAAATAGAGAAAGAAGAAATAAAACTCTCCCTCTTTGCAGATGACATGATCTTGTATTTAAAGAATCCCAAATTACTCAAGGTGATTCAAAACTTTGGCAAAATAGCAGGGTATAAAATTAACCCTCAAAAATCAATGGCTTTTCTCTATGCCAACAATGAGAAAAGTGTGGCTGAAATTAGGAAAGCAACTCCATTCAAAATAGTTCCACAAAAAATAAAATACCTAGGAATTAACTTAACCAAAGAAGTGAAGGACCTCTATGATGAAAACTTTAAAAACTTGGAAAAGGGAATCAAAACAGAACTTAGAAAGTGCTCCTGTATTGGAAAGATCAACATTGTGAAAATGGCAATACTTCCCAAGGGTATCTATAAATTCAATGTGATACCTATCAATATTCCAACCTCATGCTTCAAGGAAATAGAAGAGGCAATCCAAAAATTCATATGGAACAATAAAAGACCCCAAATAGAAAAAAATTCCTTAGCAAAAAGAACAGTGCCGGAGGAATGTCAATACCAAATTTCAAACTCTACTACAAAGCCACAGTATTCAAAACAGCTTGGTACTGGCACAAGAACAGACCTCAGGACCAATGGAATAGAATTGAAGACCCAGAAATGAACCCACAGACCCACAGATCTGCGATAAGGGAGCCAAAAAAATAGAACAGAAGAAAGACAGCCTCTTCAGTAAATGGTGCTGGCAAAATTGGTTAACTACTTATAGAAAACTAAAGCTAGATCCTTATATATCACCCTGCACCAGAATCAACTCCAAATGGATCAAAGATCTCGGAGTCAAAGCAGACACTCTGAAAACATTACAGGATGGGATAGGAGAAACCCTAGGTCTCTTTGGCACAGGCTGAAATTTTCTTAATAGAGACTCAGAAACATAACAAATCAAAGAAAGGTTGGACAAATGGGATTGCATGAAATTCCTGAGCTTCTGCATGGCAAAGGACATAGCTAGCAAGATCAATAGAAAGCCCACAGATTGGGAGAAGATCTTCACTAGCCATACAAAAGACAAGGGCCTCATATCTAAAATATACCTGGAACTCAAAAAATTAAATCACCCAACAACAAATCTTCAAAGAAACAACTGCCCAATAAATAAGTGGGCTAAAGACTAAAAGAGAAACTTCTCTGAAGAGGAAAGAAGGATGGCCAATAGACACATGAAGAAATGCTCAACTTCTCTACCCATAAAAGAAATGCAAATCAAAACAACATTGAGATTCCACCTCACCCCAGTTAGAATGGCTATAATCAATCACTCTAATAACAACAGATGCTGGAGGGGATGTGGACAGAAGGGAACCTTGCTACATTTTTAGTGGGAGTGTAAACTTGTTCAACCACTTTGGAAAGCAGTATGGAGGTTCCTCAAAACCTCCATACTCCACATAGAGCTCCCCTATGACCCAGCAATCCCACTTTTGGGCATTTACCCAAATGATCACAAACAAGACCATACTAAAGCTACCAGCACAACTATGTTTACTGTAGCATTATTTACCATAGCTAAGATATGGAACCAACCCAGATGTCCCTCAGTAGATGAATGGATCAAGAAAATGTGGTATATATACACAATGGAATTCTATGCCTCCATCAGAAAGAATGACATTGCCCCATTTGTTAGGAAATGGAAAGACTTGGAAAAAATTATATTAAGTGAAGTAAGCCAGGCCCAAAGAAACCTAGGTCCCATGGTTTTCCTTATTTGCAATAACTAGTATATGTCTGAGTCAAGCAGAAAAGGTCAGATAAGTTGATGTTAGGGGAATGAATTCCAAGATAAGTATTCAAATGTGTTTTTTTCTTTCATGCAACTGTTTCTAACATATTTATAAGATAATTTCTTTGTTGCTTTGTATGTCCCTCCCCCACGGTATAACCCCTGCTTTCACTGTATTTGATGTTGGTATAATTTGTGGAGGGGAAGGGCAAAAACAAATCATTTAACTAGGGATACAGGTGGACTCACTGGAACAACGAGATGTACAAATCATTATGTCTAAAAATGAACTTTACAACTTTGGTTGGGGGGAAGGATCAGGTGGGGGGATGTGGGGGGTCTATGGGAAGCTATGGGAAGGGGAAACAAAGAGGAGGCAACAATGCTTGATAAGAAATGTACTC